TACACTTTGATTTTCGTTTTTAATACACTTCTAACTCTGTTTTCTTTTTTCAAAACAAGCACAAGACACACAAGGAATTGCTGGCCACAAATTGCTAAGAAACTAATAGCAAATGAAGTTCACAAAAAAATTGACTCTAGAACATGTTAGGACTAATAACATGCATTGGAAACATTTTATGAGCACTCTAAGATTTTTTAATGTTCAGCCAGCAGTGACACCATACAAGAACAGATATCAATTCATATAGATTCAAAAATAAAAAGGCACAACAAGGATTTAATGACAAGCAAAACAACTACACATGACTCTAAGACAAAACTAGTAGATTAAGAAATGTAAAATGCTTGTATTCTTGTTTCTTTTTTGGAATTTCTTTTTAGACCGAATATTAAGGAGTCCAACGAAAGATAAAAGCAATCCTAAAACATTTAAAAAGACATATAAAGAATACCTAAGGCACACAAAAAGATTGATTCACAAGAATTTAGAACATGAATCAAGAACAAGCAAGACAAAGTGAATGTGTTGTATAGATTTATATATGTGACACAAGAACAACTCAAGGCACACAAACACAAGACAATAAAAGGAAATACATGGAGGAACAATTTAGATACATTTTTATATGTTTTTGACCGAACAAAAATGGAAGACAAAGCTCAAGAACAAATTTACCAAGAAGGCCTAGCTCTTGATACCAAATGATGGAAAACTTGTTGAGAAATCGGATTGATGTTGATTCCTCTTCAAGCCCCTCCTAGATCTTTTGCTACTTGATTCTTCTTAAGCTTTCCTAAGGTCTCTAATGGAGGTAGAGACCTTAGAACCACCACGTTTTGGTGGAGAACTCTCCCAAGAGATGCCACTCCTTGATGAAGAGATAAGTCTCTTTAATTCTCACCACACTCTTCTAGGGAAGGGATAAGAGAATTGGATGAATATCAAAGAGGTTTAGGGACTTTTAGAAGAGAGAAATCTGAACAATCTCTGAATTATCTCTTAAATATATGCCAAAAGTGTTTTACAAAGAAGGAAAAACAAATATATAGGAGTAGGAAGCTTGGAGAGCAAGCTAGCCTTAACCATGGTTCACTAGGAACCATGGTAAGGTCTAGCTAACCGTCCATGGTCTAGTGGCTTGGAGAGCAAGCTACTCACTTAGCTTGCTTGGTAAGCAAGCTAAGGAGAAGCTTGTGCTTGAAGCTTCTAAGCTTGGAGGAGACAAGCAATTTGGCCAAACTGAACACAAGCCAAGGTGGGCGGCTCTTTGGACTTTATTTTACTCCAACTGGTTTTGAAAATGTTGATTTGGTTTAGTTAGGTTCATCCAATGTGAATGGAACGTAGCTAAATCAAATATATAAAAAATTAGGAGTAAATGAGTCCAATATGTAAAATTTTGCCTAGGCCCACCTCTAGGCCCAATTGCTAGTTACACTCTCTAGCTTGCTAGTGACACTCTCTAGCTTGCTAATGCCACTCCCAATCCTACTACTAGAAAACTTAGAAAAGAGTGTATTTATAGATTAGGTTAAATGGAGTCAAAGTGTTCAAGTAACCTAACCTAGAAACAATATACAATAGCTACTAAAAGGAAATAAAGTGCCTCTCAAATACAAAGACAAAAATACACCTATACAAGTATCTACTATATACAAGGTACAAGAAAAACAAACTATACAATGTATGTACAATGGAAGCTCAAGAGGCTAATAAGAGGAATCATACTCAATGCTCATAAAGAGCAAAGGTCTAAGAAGCACCTCCTCTGTAGAAGCCTGCTCTAGCTTCCTAACCATGGACCTAGTCAAAGGTTCAATGGCCTTCATAGGTGAGCCTCCTTGGATCAACCTTCACCCTTCTTGGTCTTACCTCTTCTAAAGGGATCCTTGGGGATTAAATTTCCATCAAAGAAACAATCTCATGTGGAGGGAGAAGGAGCGGAGCAGAATCGCACAAAGGGAGAAGGAGAGAATTGCCTGCAAAGGGAGAAGAAGTGGAGTAGAATCGCACACGAGGTGGTGGTCGTGTTAGAGGCGGCTGCAACGACAGAACTCATCAGAGGAGGCACGCCGTTGATGTTGCAAAAAGGAGACAATGTTTCATAACTATAGGGTTAGGGTTTTGCCGCGAACCTATTCAGGTAAATGAAAAGAATGGAGTGCCCAAACCTGGAAAAAAACCTAGGCCCAAACCTAGAAAAATGGAAAAAAAAAGAAGCCCAAAATGGGCGCCATCACCGCCGTAAACTGCCAAGCCGTTACCGCTATAATGGTCGCCATATGCAAAATGGCCGACCCATGCCATACAAAGGCCAAACAATCATAATAGAATGTGGCGACCGCCGCCATAGCCGCCATTTAACAACACTGTTGAATAAGTGCTTATTATATAAACCCTTATGTATAGGTTATTTTATAATCAAGGAGGAAATAGGGTTAAACTGATTCTATATAAGCTATAAGCTATTTTCATTTGAAGAACCTTGTTGAGATAAGCTGAAAATAATTTACAATGAACACTTAGAAATAATAATGAATTGAAAGTTTTGGTGAGAAACCATTATATAAAAGAAGTTAAAAGTACAACAACAAAAAATAAATAAAAGATCATTTGTTCTTCTTTTAAAAAAAATAAATGAAGAGAACATAAATAAGTAAAACATGAAAGATTTAACAAGTTTAAGAATCAAGCAAGCAAAAAATATCAATACTCTACTGGGTCTAAAACCAGGAAGAAAATATGCATCTAACTTGAAAAAAAAGAAATTAGAAACAAAAAAATTGCGTTGAGGTACCTCTATGTCAAGTGATAGATACTTTTTCCTAAGTATACGTACCTGGTTTGAAATTTCAAAATGGAAGAAAAAGAAACTAACAAAAAGATATATACAACTTGCATAATTGACAAGAAATTTCAGTCACAAAGCATAACACAAGAAAGAGTGACGATACTTTATCCATCATCTCGGGCATACCTTTTTATCCTCCAAATCCAGGCTCTACAGTCATCACAAGAACCATTTCCACAGGATTTTCAGCTTCCACCTATCAGTGAAAAGAATAAAGATTATGAAACAAGAAAAAGAAAAGGAAAAAATATACACATGCACATGAGACTAAGGGCTTCCAGTCATTGATATTGTATCTATTCTCAAGTTTATGCACTAGGACTCACGACACTCATAGATGATAAAGGCAGATAATAAAATCTAGCTATATGGTGCACTTTAGTCATTAAATTGTGAGTCCTTGATATTGGCCAACCACACAAAATGCACCATTTAGCTGGATTTTATTATCTGCCTTTATCATCTGTGAGTGTCGTGAGTCCTTATGCATAAACATAAGAATAGATACAATATCAATAACAGGAAGTCCTTAGCCTCATGTGCATGTGTTTTTTTTTCCTTTTCTTTTTCTTATGTGTCATAATTTTTATTCTTTTCACTGACAGGTGGAAGCTGAAAATCCTGTGAAAATGGTTCTTGTGATGAGTATAGAGCCTGGATTTGGAAGACAAAAATTTATGCCCGAGATGATGGGTAAAGTATTGTCACTCTTTCTTGTGTTATGCTTTGTGACTGAAATTTCTTGTCAATTATGCAAGTTGTAGATATCTTTCTGTTAATTTTTTTTTCCATTTTGAAATTTCAAACCATGTACGTATACTTAGGAAAAAGTATCCATCAGTTGACATAGAGGTACCTCAACACATTCTTTTGTTTCTAACTTCTTTCCTTTCAAGTTAGATGCATATTTTCTTCCTGGTTGTAGACACAGTAGAGTATTGATATTTTTTGCTTGCTTGATTCATGAACTTGTTAAATCTTTCATGTTTCACTTATTTATGTTCTCTTTATTTATTTATTTTTTTTAGAGAAAAGAACAAATGGTCTTTTATTTAATTTTTGCCTTTGCACTTTTCACTTCTTTTATATAATGGTTTCTCATCAAAACTTCCCATTCAATATTATTTTTAAGTGCCCAATTATTGTATTCATGGATATTGGAGGTGATTAAGGTTCTTATTGGAAGAGCTTATTCATAGCTTATTTAGGCCTATCTTATCACAAAGGCATCTGTGTAAGTGTTTGGGAGAACTTATGAAATAAAGTTATGATATGTTCGTAAATTATTTTCAGTTTATCTAAACAAGGTTCTTCAGATGAAAATAGCTTATAGCTTATATAGAATAAGTTTAACCCTATTTCCTCCTTGATTATAAAATAATCTATGCATAACTGCTTATATAATAAGCACTTATTCAACAGTGTTGCTAAATGGCAGTTATGGCGGTGGCCGTCGCGTTCCGTTATGGTTGTTTGGCCTCTGTATGGCACGGGTTCGCCATAGGCCATTATAGCGGTAACGACGTGGCAATTTACGACATTCATGACTCCCATTTTCGGCTTTTTATTTCCATTTTTCCGGGTTTGTGCCTAGGTTTTTTTCTAGGTTTGGGCATTCATTTTTTTCATTTTCCTGAATAGGTTAGCAATAAGACCCTAACCCTATAATTTTGAAACATTGTCTCCTATGTGCAACGTCAATGGTGTGCCTCCTCCGATGAGTTCTGCCGCTGCAGTTGCCTGTAACGCGACCACCACCTCTTTTGCGATTCTACTCCACTTCTTCTCCCTCCGCACGCGATTCTCTCCTTCTCCCTTCGCATGTGATTCTTTCTTTCTCCCTCCCCGCACGATTCTGCAACTTCTCCCTCTGTGTTTTGCTATTTTTTAACATTGTTTCTTTGTTTTGATGACCATTTAGTCCTTTTGTTGGCTAGGAATTTATGTCCTTTTATGATGACTATCACTAAATTATGAGTGTCATGAATTTTAGTCATTATATTGTGAGTCCTTGATATTGGCCAACCACACAAAATGCACCATATAGCTGGATTTTATTATCTGCCATTATCATCTGCTAGTGTTGTGAGTCCTTGTGCATAAACTTGAGAATAGATACAATATCAATGACAGGAAGCCCTTAGTCTCCTGTGCATGTGTGTTTTTTTTTCTTTTCTTTTTCTTATGTGTCATAATTTTTATTCTTTTCACTAACATGTGGAAGCTGAAAATCCTGTGGAAATGGTTCTTGTGATGACTATAAAGCCTGGATTTGGAAGAAAAAAATTTATGCCCGAGATGATGGATAAAGTATTGTCACTCTTTCTTGTGTTATGCTTTGTGACTGAAATTTCTTATCAATTATGCAAGTTGTATAAATCTTTTTGTTAATTTTTTTCTTCTATTTTGAAATTTCAAACCAGGTACATATACTTAGGAAAAAGTATCCATCACTTGACGTAGAGGTACCTTAGCACATTATTTTCTTTCTAACTTCTTTCCTTTCAAGTTAGATGCATATTTTCTTCCTGGTTGTAAACACAGTAGAGTATTGATATTTTCTACTTGCTTGATTCTTGAACTTGTTAAATCTTTCATGTTTACTTATTTATGTTCTCTTCATTTATTTTTTTTACAAAAAAGAACAAATGGTATTTTATTTATTTTTTGCCTTTGCATTTTTAACTTCTTTTATATAATTGTTTCTCACCAAAACATCCTATTGAATATTATTTCTAAGTGCTCAATTATTCTATTCACGGAGATAGGAGGTGATTAAGGTTCTTAATGGAAAAGCTTATTCATAGCTTATTTAGACTTATTTTATAAAAAAAGCATGTGTGTAAGTGTTTGGGAGAACTTATGAAATAAAGTTATGATATGTTCGTAAATTATTTTCAGCTTATCTCAACAAGGTTCTTCAGATGAAAATAACTTATAGCTTATATAGAATTTGTTTAAACGTTTTTCCTCCTTGATTATAAAATAACATATACATAAGTTCTTATATAAGAAGCACTTATTCAACAATGTTGTTAAATGGTGGTTATGGCGGCGGTCACCGCGTTTCGATATGGCTGTTTGGCTTTTGTATGGCACGGCTCCGCCATTTTCCATCTGGCGACCATTACTGCGGTAACGGCGTGGAAATTTATAGCGGTCATGGCACCCATTTGGGGCTTTTTTTTCCCCCATTTTTCTGGGTTTGGGCCTTTTTTTTATTTTTTTTTTCAGGTTTGGGCATTCCATTTTTTTCATTTTCCCGAATAGGTTCGTAGCAAAACCCTAACCCTATAGTTTTGAAACATTATATCCTCCGTGCATCGTCAACGGCATGTCTCCTCCGATGAGTTCTGTTGCTGTATTTGACTCTAACACGACCACCACCTCGTGTGCGATTCTACTCCGCTTCTTCTCCCTCTGCACGCGATTCTCTCCTTCTCCCTCCGTGAGATTCTGCTTTGCTCCTTCTCCCTCTGCATGTGATTCTCTCTTTCTCCCTCCGCGCGAAATTCTACACCTTCTCCCTCCGTCTTTTGCTATTTTTTAACATTGTTTCTTTATTTTGATGACCATTTAATCCTTTTGTTGGCTAGGAATTTATGTCTTTTTTGATGACTATCACTGGATTATGAATGTCATGAATTTTAGATTGTTATATTATTGGTTTTAATGTGTTTGTTATTTTTCTATTTTTGCATCATATTATATACATACATACATACATACATACATACATACATATATATATATATATATATATATA